GGTCTGTAAATAATCGAATCTGGACCAGACAATCCAGTGATTGATAGCATCGGTCCACGCATCTGATGACATTATCAACCAAGTCAGCGAGTCTGACCACCCGATCCCGTTAGTCGCCTCTTATGACAAGCATAGTCACCTTTTACGGCAAGCATGGGTTGCTGAAGACCTATTCTTCCCCGGATCTTCATGGGTAAAGTTACCTAAGTGAGGTTATGACAAGTAAACTATTGTTTTGGGAACAAAATGAGGACAAGATTTCAATGTGTAGTGTTACATTGTCATGCCTGTTCTACAGAACATGTGGAATATAAGGTTAAAAAAAAGATTTTGACTAAAACAATTTTCTCCAATATGCCTGTCATAGGAATATACCGGTAGTTTAAAATCTGAGATAGTTGTTTTTCCCATTACCATGGTTACCCTAATGGGTAATTTATTTAATACAGATAGGGTTAAAAATTCTGTATTTAAAAAAAGGTTATGTGTGCACCGGTCAAGCATAAGCTTTGATTATCGATGAAACTCTATTATTCTAAGCACACGGTTTTAAATTTTTATTTAAAAAAGTTGACTTGACACAGAGCAAGTGTAAGCTGCCAGTTTCGATGCCAAATATCAATGAAACTATATCTATGCAACCAGGGTATTAACTTTCATGTAAAGTGCGCAATATATTACATGGCAACCACCATTATGGTACCCTGTGAAGATCTGGGATTGGGTGGTCAGGCTCGCTGACTTGGTGATGCATGTTTTCGTATACCAATTGCCTAGATCTATGCTCATGATGTCAGTCACTGGATTGTCTGATCCAGAATCGATTATTTACAAACCGCCGCCATGTAGCTGGAATATTGCTGAGAGTGGCGTTAGACAAGCAAAACAATTACAGTGGCTTGATGAAAGTCATTATTCTAAACTATCTGGGCACAGTACAAACAACCATATTGGTACCAATTGAAAGACCCATGAAGATCCGGGGTAGAATAGGTCTTCAGCAACCCAAGCCTGCGGTAAAAGGCGACTATGCTTGTTGTAAAAGGTGACTAACGGGATCGGGTGGTCAGGTTCGCTGACTTGGTTGATGCATGTCATCGATCCCAATTGCGTGGATCGATGCTCATGATATTAATTACTGGATTGTTGGTCCAGACTCGATTATTTACAGACCGCCTTCATATAGCTGGAATATTGCTGAGTGCGGCATTAAACAACAAACCAACCAACCAACCAACCAATTGAAATGATTGAAAAAACTCTGTTATGCTAATTGACTGGCTGCAGACATTTTGGTGATCCAATACAGTTGAATTTCCATAATGTTGAAAATTAACCGTGCACAAGGCAAGTATGAAACACAGTTTTGGTGGCCTCATGTTTTAGCTAGCTGCATGTACCGCTTTGTCATTAAGCGCTTGCAACAAGATCTACTTTAGACATGATAGTGCTGAGCATGCTAAGATGTTGGCTGCGGCATTTGGTGTTATTTTTTGTTGTGGAAGGAATTGGTTTACACCCATGAGTAATTCGGCCTGCCTGCACATTGTGACAGCAGCCATATGGGTCTGTTTTGATTGTTACAGTTTTCACATACACTAGGATATATGGTTTGTATCTTAAAGGCACAATCTCAATGTTGTATTGAGAATTTATTATTTTGAAAGTCTATGATGCTGTTCCGACATTCTGATGTAGAAATGTTTTTTAAGTAGATTTTCTTTTGAGACTGCAACACATCCTACACGATATGGAGCAAGAACACACGTGTCTCTCAAACTCATGGAGCCTCATAAATTAACTTGTTAAAGTCTAAAGATATGTAAATTGGTTGTTTAACCTATTCTGACTAATTTATTGTTGTGTGTATGTGTTTTGAGTGCCCTTTTCATTGACTCAGCACAGCTTTCACGGTAAATGGTAAAAACATTGATATATTGGATTGCTCTCACCACATATATGGAACTTAACCAAACTCCTCGACTAACAGATCCTTAAGATCTGGGATAGAATAGGTCTTCAGCCACCGGTTGGGATCGTGTGGTCAGGCTTTCTGACTTGGTTGATGCATGTCATCGGTCCCAATTGCATGGATCGATGCTCATGATATTAATCACTGTAATATCTGGTCCAGATTCAAATATTTACAGACTGTCGTCATATAGCTGGAATATTGCTGAGTGCTGCGTTAAACAACAAAACAACCAACCAACCTCGACTAACATCAGTCTCTGAAATTAAAATATTTTAAAAATCTATGTTGGCTAAATTTTCTTCTCATATATGATATAAGAGAGCCCAGAGAATCTATTCATTTACTGACTAAAACTGAAGAAATCTAGTAAATAGTACTGTAGGCTTTTGTTTCTCAACAGGAGTATTGTGAAAGTGCTTGAGAATCTCAGGTGTTTTGGTTTCAGGGTCTGTACAGATTATTCAACTCGCTCCTTCTCTTCATCATTTTAAATGTAGTTTTCCATTACAGAAAATGTTCATAAATTTATTTTGGACAATAATCATAGATAAACTGGATCCTCTTCAAGGATATATAATGTTGAATGTAACTTTCGTCCGGAGACGTGCATACTTTGCTGCTTCCTGCCCTTGATAAATACCGCTTCAGTGTTCCTGTTTACCGGTAATTACCAGTCTTTTACCCGTAATTACCAGTCTTTTACCCTGTGGACCAGCAAAGAAAGTACCTTATAAATCTTTGTTTTTGAACAAAACATTGGCTATATTCATACAAGTATATGTTTCGAATGAAGTCAACTTGTCTGTTACCATCACGGTTTCCGCTTGTCTATTTTTAGTGCAAGCAAATCACATTTCACTTTGCTACGAGATGAACTATATATTTGTAGCAACTTTGGCTTGAAATATTAACCAAAAAAAGGAGAATAATATGACTGAACTTTCTGTAAATAACATGTCGATTTAACGAAGTTACTTCAGAGATGACGCCATTGCATTGAACATGTTGTTAAAAGAATTAAAACCAGGTAATTTTCATACTTTTTTTATTTGCTAAAAGTTTGGGAGGACAATAATTAGGAGAGACTGGTAATGTTTAGAGTTGCCAGTCCTGGTGGACTGGTATTTTCAAAAGTAAATGGGAACACTGCCTATTGTATCCAGCATTGTAATGAAGAAGGGAAAACTCCCTTGACCCCCTTCCCAACTAAAATGCATCACTGATGTTAAATAATTTATCAGTGGCAAAGGATTATATAATTTCTGCAAATACGGAAAGATGGGGACCAACAAAGTACAATCTGTCCCAACTTTTCATGTTTGATATCAGTGGTTATAGGTGTGCGATATAACTGGTATACCTTTATATTGCAATTAGGTCATCAGCCATACACATATCACAATACAACCTTTTCGTATCGATATATTTGGTATAGTCACAGAAGAATGAATATATAATTATATAAATTATATCTTGAGGCATTTGGATGGCCTGGGTTCCTATCTAAGCCATGTAAACAGCACAAGCTTCACGCTGTTTACAGTTACATTCCATATTGATGACGCGATAGGTAGTTTCGTTTATCCATACTGCCCATCTGGCAATCTGAAGTCTGGATTATCGAATGGAGAAGTACCATCTGAACAGAACAAATATATATAATTTGGGCCCCAATACGTATTGCAATATGTTTGGCAATACAGCTTTCCGTATTGCGATATATTTTGATAAGGTATATGTGCCAAGACCCCACCCCTATCGGTGGTGTCCGATGCAGTAAGCAGCACAGGTCACACGATAGTCCCACAATCCCCTTATCGAAATTCAGAGTAGAATCGTTTTCGTTAACTTTCAGTGAACAAGGATTGATCTAGACCTCAGATCCAATATGAAAAGGGCAAATGTTTTTGACATAAGAGTTCAAATTTTCTCGCATGTTTCAGTTTCTGTAGCCAATTTTCTACGGGACAAGTGATTTGGTATCAACAAAATGATTATACTTGCGGAATCCTGGGCCCACTTGCACAAAGCGATCTTAGCGCTAAGACTATTGTAAGCCTATGTTATAGTATGGTAGTTACGATCATCTTAGCGCTAAGACTATTGTAAGCCTATGTTATAGTATGGTAGACTATTGTAAGCCTATGTTATAGTATGGTAGTTACGATCATCTTAGCGCTAAGACTATTGTAAGCCTATGTTATAGTATGGTAGTTACGATAATCTTAGCGCTAAGACTATTGTAAGCCTATGTTATAGTATGGTAGTTACGATCATCTTTGCGCTAAGACTATTGTAAGCCTATGTTATAGTATGGTAGTTACAATCATCTTAGCGCTAAGACTATTGTAAGCCTATGTTATAGTATGGTAGTTACGATCATCTTAGCGCTAAGACTATTGTAAGCCTATGTTAAAGTATTGTAGTTATGATCATCTTAGCGCTAAGACTATTGTAAGCCTATGTTATAGTATGGTAGTTACGATCATCTTAGCGCTAAGACTATTGTAAGCGTATGTTATAGTACGGTAGTTACGATCATCTTAGCGCTAAGGTCGCTTTGTGCAAGTGGGACCAGATGTTATGCATGAACTTACTTTAATAACAAATTTATGAAACAAGTAATTGCTCTCCAACAAGTCTGCTTTCGAATTGCTTTTGAAAACCACAAGATTAATGTTTTATACCAGAGCAGCTATTTATTGACATCCTTTTGATTCAGTCTCTTTATCATGTTTATATTAGGACCAGTATTAAGGATTGGAAAAAAAATAATATGAAATTCAAATTCAACAATCTAGCACACTCTGTGTCACTTTATGGGTAATTCGAGCTTGTTGCCCAGTATATTTTAAAGGTTTAAGTGTTCCTCTTTCAAGTGAGATTCCGCTGTCAGACCTCGTTTGTTTCAACTATTTCCAGCAAGCTGTAAAGTTCAGTCTCATTATCTGATGTAAACTGCTGTTTGGCTCTTCAAACCAGACCCTGTCCCTGTTATACAGGCTGGTCCAGACCCCCACATCACCCAGCCGGTCCCCCCCAGCTCCAAGCCAGCCCCTCCCCCTCCAGCTGCACGGCCGCTCCCCCCTCCAGCTGCACGGCCGCTCCCCCCTTCTTCCCCAGCCACCAAAGATTCTTGGCCTGGGAGATGAAAGGTTTATAGCAAAATTAAACTGTCTCACTTTCTTGGATGACTTCTGGGATGGGATGTCCTCTGAGTATGTTGAGGCAAGGTTTGACGTTATTCACGAATATGTTGGGACGTTGACGGTAAGTTACTTCACGAGCTAATTGTAAAGTTAGCAATGTATTTATATGCAAATGACTGTGTTATGATACATGGATGGATTGTAACATTTTTTGAGAGAGTTGAATTGATTGATGAAGAGGAAGAATTGATTATCTTTAGAATGTGGCTTGAATATGATTATGAAGTTTAATGAGATCCTGAAATGTTTTCGTGTAAATGGTCTTTTGTAGGCCTGGGACGACATGTTCCAGATGATGTGTAAGAGTTGTTTTTCAAGGACGTTTTGTGAGTCATCGTGATGAAGTTAGAATATGTCTTTCCAGTCTTGTTAAAAAAGTGTTGCTCTATTTGCATGCATGGAACTGTGGGTTTGTTGTGCTGCTTGAAGTTTCTATTCAGATTCTATTCCAGATTTGTCTTCTCTTAGGCAGAACAATTAGGCAGGTCATAAATTTATTGTATTCTTCTTATTTGTCATGGTTGTCCAAACATTAACGTTTTGGTGCTGCATAATGCGATTGTTGTTCATTAGCAATGATTTTTGCAGTAAAGGGTTGTAGTGTAAGAAGGCTCCATGTGGTAATCCGTGATCTCTTTGCTCATTTGCTCTCCCGTGGAGATTCCAGGTTAGAAAGAATAGGTCCCCGGCAACCTATGTAGGTCAAAATAGGGATCTTAATCAATGTGCAAAATAACTGCCTGCCCGTGGCTGGTAACTCTTCTGTCGGGCTGCATTAAATTTTCCTCCACCTGATGGACTGTCTGGTAGATAATTTTAAGACTACTTACATATTCAGTTTTCTCAAGTAACTGTTTGCGTTATTTCAACTGAATCAAGATGCACTTTGTCTCTTATTTTTCCGCGATTTTTCAATGTTTATAATGTCTGAATGTGGGCAGGTAACTTTGAAGATGGGCAGGCAACATTTAGGGGTCACCTACCCGACTGTCTTGTTGGGTTTTAAAATTATCTCAAACACTGTGGTCTTAATGGATTGGGACGTGATGACTTGGTCAATTGCATGTCATTGTACCCCGATGTCGTGGCTCGTTACTCATATCAATCATTGGATTGTCTGGTCCAGACTTTGTTATTTACAGGGGTGGTCGGGTAGCCTAGTGGTTAAAGCATTCGTTTATCACGCCAAACCTGGGTTCGATTCCCTACATTGGTACAAGCCCATTTCTGGTGTCCCTCGCCGTAATATTGCTGGAATATTGCTAAAAGCGGCATGAAACCACACTAACTCACTCACTCACTGTTATTTACAGGTTGCTGTCATATAGCTGGAATATGAGTGTGGCGATAAACAAGAAACAAAAAACAAACTTTTTTTTCTGTATCGTTTTTTATATTATTGAAAAAGAATCACAAATAGTCCAGCAGCCATTGTTGCAATGATTAGTCAAAGTCAGATTAGACAGTCATGCTGTCAAAGTTTGACATACTAACATGCTTAGTTATGAATGCAGTATTTGACTCATCAACACTTGGAAGTACAGTGATCCCTCGCTACAACGCTACCTTCAGGGTCCAAATAATTGATGAGCGTTATAGATGATCGGCGGTTTAACGAAGGTCGAGTCGTAGGTGGTAGATGACCAACAAAACAGTATACATGCTCTGCCTACCTAACACAATCTACGTTGCACATTTCAGGGTTTAAAAAAAGATTAGAATAGAAGTTATTTATGATTCATAGTGTAAAAAAAGATGTATCGAGTATTAATATACGCTTTAAAAAAAACACCACATCATATCCCTTCAGGTGAATAAGCAGGTAGATCTATAACAAACTTTGTCAATAAAAGTATGAAATTTGATATAAAACATCACTAGACATGATGATTTACCATTTAAAATGTATTTCCTGCTCTCAAAGGCATTCTTTCATATGCAGAGATTAAGATTACCATGTGTATTTTCTTGTAAACTAAGCTGGAAATAGCAATCAGCTGTTCACACGTTTCCTCCCAACCTACCGGTGATTCAGTTAAAACGTACCCAGTGATACCACTTTAAAGAAATTTGATGCAATGGTCGGAAGAAACTCTATCTGAGATTATTATTTTATCAGGATTAATATATTCCAATGTCGTGTTATTTTAGTTGCAGCTTCCACCATATATACTTAAAATTATAAGAACCACAAGCGTAGCACTTTTGTACAGATTGTATGCAGGATATTTTTTGACGTATGGAACGATTTTGACCAGTCACCCTATGTATACATGTATTTCGATTGCGAAAAAGTTATGTTGACATTTAATAGTCAAACTGCCTCAAATATGACTTTTAGTCAGTCATGATAAACATGATATTTATGATATGTGTATCCATTCTCTTGCTACTAAAGTTCGTTTCAAGGCGTCAATAGCGGTAATCTGACTGTGGTTGCTGTTAATAACAGTGAGTTGTGCGATCTACCGATCACTTCGCATACGATTTCGCCGAAATTATTGTAAACATTATCATAATTATTGAATGAAATTTTGAATATAATTAAAAAGATATATTGCAACATTAGTCCTGATAAATAATGAACATTCTTTTTATTACCAGATATTGTAATAATAGGATTAAATTGCATACTTCAGTTCAGATTTGTTGACTGGTTTCTGAGATGGGGGAAAACATCGTGTCATTGGAAAACTTGAGTTTAATGAAAATGTTAGTTAATTTTGGCAGCCATGCTTTACCGCGCGCTTTAACCGAGTTAGCGCTATATTGAAGGGTGCAATAACGAGGGAACACTGTACTGTAAGTAGATATATGATTCTCACAAACTGTCTCGGCATCTCACTGAGGTTGGTCATCGTTTGTTCATTTAAAAAGAAAAAACAACAACCTTTGTTATGTTTTCTACCTTTTCATTATTATCAGAATGACTGATATCATTTGGAGTGAATAGGACTGGTTAGATATACTCAAGACATGCAAGAGTGGACACAGATTTATTTTTTAAGACAGGGATGCATTTTGTGACCAAGTTAGCATAAAAGTGAGTTTGGTTGTCATGTAATATTTTTTTAAAACATAAAAATGACCACTATTCTGACATGTTTAGCTTCTATACAAATTTTAAATGTATAAATGTGCTGCAAAAACTGTGTTTGACCTACCCTGCACTTGCCCCAGATCTGCATATGATGTTCAGCCATCTCTTGTACAGTGTTGCATGTGCATCCAGTTGCTACATGAGAGTTGTCTCCCTTCCACTGCAACAGAAAGAAAAGGCATCACAGGCAATTATTACATGAAGTCCCTGGCTCTCCATGTAATTTAGAGGGCACGGGTGGCCCAGTCGTCTAAGGCACCGCGATTCCCTGTGCAGAGTTGTGTCCCTTGGGCACGCCAGAAACCTATGATTGTGGGTTTGAATCCCGGTTCGCCCCGATTATGTTTCTAGGTTTATTAGCACCATACCCATGCTCATGGGTTTCACCAAAGTGGTAAACGTCTGAGACCTGCATCACTTTGCTTTCTGAATTATGGCTAGACTATTGCTGGCTGCATGCTTTTCCTCACTTTCTGAAACAATCTTCTGTCCCAAGGTTGGTTTATAGAGAACCTCATTTGAGTGCCTTTTGATAATAAATATATCAACACGAGTCGTTAAAAATTCCAAGGTGTTTGAAGAGTTTTAAACTTTTAGGAATGATTGTTGATGTATTTTATGTCAAAACACACAAGGTTGAGATTCTATTTATTATCCAAACTCATTCTTCCAGCTTTTTCAGGTTGTAATCAGTAATATATAACCAGTGTCGTGAGTGTAAAAGTGTGACAGCAAACCAGCTTCATGAATGGTGATGTCATTTGATTGTGATTTCATGATAAGCCATGACGTCACAATGGTCTGCATGCATTGTGATGCAAATCCATTGTTGTGATATCACCTGGTATATTGCTTGATCCCACCCACAGATGCACCTTTCACTGCATATTTTTAGTTGGGTTTTCTTCTCCAACTTTAATTGCATAAAGGGTAACAACACTCCATCTCTGTCGTCTTGTCGGTGTCGTTTTGATTAGCCTGTGCAATTACCAGATGCCAATTAGGGTCAGAGACCCAACAAACCCGGCTTTGGAGCAACGAGGGAGGGCCTCATTGACAGCGAGGGGGAATCCCCTTGAATCCTCGCATTTGAATGGATTATGCTTACTATAACCTTTCACCTTGCAAAAGCTATCAGCATGTGTGAATGTGTATGTACAATTGTGTAGTTTAGTATACAGCAAATATGTGTACATATTATGTTTGCAACAATGAAGTTCAGTTCATCTACTCTGAATTGCAATGACCCTTATTTTTCAGGCAAATTGCATACAATGCAACAATTACTACTCCCTTATCGTGCATATTTCGTGGCATAAACCCTACACCTCTGTATTTGTCATCATTCACTTGATGCTCAACTAAAGACTTTATTACAGGTATTATAAGCGCTAGGACCACTCAGATTACCTGACAAAGAGACCCATGAGGATGCGGGGTAGAAAAGGTCTTTAGCAACCCATGCTTGCCGTAAAAGGCGACTATGTTTGTCGTAAGAGGCAACTAGCGGGCTCGGGTGGTCAGACTCGCTGACTTGGTTGATGCATGAATCGATGCTCATGATGTTAATCACTGGATTGTCTGGTCCAGACACAATTATTTACAGACCGCCTTCATATAGCTGAAATATTACTGAGTGTGACGTAAAACAACAAACAAACAAACAAAACAAACAAACCTGACAAAGACTAAGCTAAAAAAGGTGTCAAAAGAGATATAGCAGTCAGACAAGACCTTTATGTAGGTTTACTAGAGCAGACAGAATCCACCCATATCTGGGCGTTAAGTGCAGATGTAAAAATAACATACTTTGTTCAAAGGATTAGCTGATAATATGTTGACTGATTGCTGATTGTTATCTAATTCAAAGGTTTTTTTTTAAAGAACCGTGGTCATTATGAATATAGTTGTCACATGTGCTCTCTCAGCTGACCAATGAGACGACACCTATGTGAAACATGTACCTGATACAAAGTTGAGAGAGGAACATAGGTTATGACATCCCGAAACGCTATATAGTTTAGAATATTAGAACATGGGTTCTGGCTAAACCAGTCGGCTGCCGGCTGACCGTGTGCCCATACGTTCAGACATTGAGGTGAAGATAGCTCCATCCTTAGACACCTTTACTGTGAACGTCTTGTCACTATATGGCTGAGATACTGCCGATGTGACGTAAAACTTTAACTCACTCACTACTGTGAATGTCATGTGACTTCATACAACACTGTGCCACCTGTGGTCATACCACTAGTGCTATGATTGTGTGTTCGAATCCTGGTTCGCCCCGATTATGTTTCTAGGTTTTCCAGCACCATGCCCGTGCTAGTCACAGGCAGACAGACAGACAGACAGGTTTATACAGTATTATGGCCATGTGGCCTAAAATACAATTGATACCAACTCATAATATGATGTCACGTGCATATTTAGAAATTACATCTTCTTGAATCTGATAGAAAAAACATGCTATATATAAGTAGCCACTGATCCACTAGTGGGTTTCACCAAAGTGGTAAACATTTGAGACCTGCATCACTTCAGGCTTTCCTCCCACATTAAGCTGACACGGCGTGATATAACAGGAATACTGTTAAAAGAGGCGTTAAACCGAACTCACTCACTCACTCGTACTGCTAGTGTTAAGTTATGTTATGCCAGACCTGTGGAATTAAAGGTTTCACAAACTTTATCACCCAAATACATGGAGGAATAATAGAAAAATACAAAATCACTTTTTATATTTTAAATAATCAAGAACTTCATTTATTACATCATGTACATTGTATTGTGCAATTGCCCTGTTTACTCAAGTACAAGACACAGTTATTTCCTGTTATCACATTTTTGCATTCTGTTTGAAATTGGTGTAACAGTGACAGGTGGAATCGAAAACAAGTTCCTTGTCCGTCTCCAAGAATAAATTAAGGAATCCAACTGAAGTCTTATGATTTGGCAAGTCTAGATTGCCTCAGCTCCAGCTGAAATTAAGCATAGTTCTTTGCTTCATTTGGATTTTATTATATATTTTGTAGATATATATTTTGAATAAGATAACTTTATTTCTGGGATGAAATGTTAGTCTAACAGGTACCGTATTTGCAATAATAAGGGCCCTGGGTGCTTATAGAATTGAAAGAAGGTGGTTCCTGTTAAAACCACACGAAACAGGTTAATTTTGTCTTGAGAATTGTGTCTTAGTTCAGACACTAAAACATTTTTGATAATAGTTACTTGACAATTATATAAATAACTCTTTGATATACACAAGAAAAGATGGACTGTGATGTTAGTGTTCAGTTTCAGTGGGGGCGCTAATGAAGATAACTTTAAGATTGGTCTAGGAGTTTGTCATGGAGCGCATCTTGGAACAGGCCGCTTAATACGGAGAATGCATTATTCAGTTTGTCTGGCCTCAGCAAGAAATGTCACTTTATAGCCACAAGTTGGCCACAATACACTATCCCATTGAAGTGTGCCCTGTGCTGTATCAATGATGTACTTGTGACTATCTATTCTACTAACTCTATTTAGGGTCCAGATCTGGTGGCAACATATGGCATCTCTTCACTTGATTTCCAGGTGTTTAATTGCTGTTATATCGTTCCAAATGCACCGAAACCTATCACAGATGGGGACTTCAATGTGAGACTGACGAAAATCATCCAGTGAGTGTATTTCTTACGAGAATAGAAATCTCACTTATATTTAACATGCAATCTACAGTTTTGATCAATTTAATGATTGAAACAGACTGCCCTATTCATTTGACAGGACTCACAAAGTAAGATGTGTTCCTTCGTAATTGGTATGCATACCGTAGTCAGTGTTATACGCGTGTACAGCTGTGTCCTATACCTGGCCCCAGTCACTGCAAGACCTTGCAGGCATTACCCTCCCACCTGATCCACCTGTCTGAATACACGATTCACCTGACTAACTGTCTACCAATAGTACAGGTAACACAGGTATTTCGCAGGTATGCACGGCAGTTTCTGCAAATACGCTTCTAAGGTTACTGTTGACTATGAAATGATGCTTAGGACTTAAACCTTTCAGGAGTGGGGTGTTGTCAGTTAGATTAGATTCTCAGTCAGGCCGGCTAATTGGCCGCTGTGGTCAAATGGATGGACAGGTGGTCTGTCCTGCTGGTGTTATGTGATAGTGGACATTCTAGTAGGTAGTCACCGACTGAGTTGGGAGGAACTAGGTTGCCCATAGGGACACAGTCCTGAGTGGTCAGTGTCTGTCCGAGATCTCTCTCAGATTTTTGTGGGAGAGTTTCATTTTTGTGATTAATGTGTTTTTGATTCCGTGGATATACTTGTAGCTGTTTGGTGAGTTTCTGTTTTTGTGAGATGGCCTTTTGGCTGTTGTAAGTATGCATGTGCTTGTGTCATTCTCAGCCACGGATTTGTAGCAGCAGGAGGTGACTGGTAGCTTCCATTGATATGCCTCTACAGTCTAGGAATTGAATTCTAAATAGTTGTCAACATTGACAAAGTGCAGACCTAGGGCTGTAAGGATTCAATACATTATCAGTGCATTGTGGTATATTGTATGTATATCGTATTATGAGGACATATATCGATGACTGAAAACAAGGACATGTTTCCTTCATTTGAAAAGAAATTGTAAATACAGATTGGATTGGGTTTTTTCGGTTGGGACCATTCAGTTTTGCTGAATTGTTTTGTCTTAATAACTTAATGTCACTAACAATCAAGCTGTGTGTACCCATGTTTTTTATTACAGGGCTGCCTACTGATCCAGAAAGAAATGTGCTATGTTTTAGCGTGTTACTTGAAACTGGGATATTATGAAGCGTATTGGAATTTATTAGCTTTGACTAACTTAGTTTCTCATTTTTGAAAAAGTGAAAGCAAAAAATTAAGTATATAAATAAAATTATGCTTTTGTTTAATTTCTTTTGTTTGTACTTTGTATGGATACTTATATTTTTAAGACATATGACTTTTTTTCAGAATGGGTGAATGTGTGTTTGTTGTTTAACGCTGTCCTCAGCATCGTTAACCTTGTTAACCAGACAATTCAGTGATTGACATCACAAGCCTCGATCCACGCAATTGGGATCCGATGACATGCAACAACCAAGTCAGCGAGCCTGACTACCCGATGGTGAATGGGTAAATGATATTTTAAATATTCAAGTTACCGTGGCGACATGTAAATGGTTGAGCCTGGACAAGGCAGATCAGTGGTTGATAGTATGACCAACAATCCATGCCACTGTTAATTGTCACAGACTTTAACCACCCAATCCTCAGTTCAGACTCTGTGGATAGAGCGTCTGCCAAGGGACCGCCTTTGTGGTCTAATGGATAGAGTATCTGTCTAGGGACCGCCTTCGTGGTCCAGTGGATAGAGTATCTTTCTAGGGACCGCCTTCGTGGTCCAGTGGATAGAGTATCTGTCTAGGGACCGCCTTCGTGGTCTAGTGGATAGAGTATCTGTCTAGGGACTGCCTTCGTGGTCTTGTGGATAGAGTATCTGTCTAGGGACCGCCTTCGTGGTCTAGTGGATAGAGTATCTGTCTAGGGACCGCCTTCGTGGTCTAGTGGATAGAGTATCTGTCTAGGGACCGCCTTCGTGGTCTAGTGGATAGAGTATCTGTCTAAGACTGCCTTCGTGGTCCAGAGGATAGAGCGTCTGCCAGGGGACCTCCTTCTTGGTCTGGTGAATAGAGTATCTGTCAAGGGACCGCCTTTGTGGTCTTGTGGATATAGTATCTGTCTAGGGACCGCCTTCGTGGTCTTGTGGATAGAGTATCTTTCTAGGGACCGCCTTTGTGGTCTAGTGGATAGAGTATCTGTCTAGGGACCGCCTTCGTGGTCCAGTGGATAGAGTATCTTTCTAGGGACCGCCTTTTTGGTCTAGTGGATAGAGTATCTTTCTAGGGACCGCCTTTGTGGTCTAGTGGATAGAGTATATAGCCAGGGACCACCTTTGTGGTCTAGTGGATAGAGTATCTTTCTAGGGACTGCCTTCGTGGTCCAGTGGATAGAGTATCTGTCTAGGGACCGCCTTCGTGGTCTTGTTGATAGAGTATCTTTCTAGGAACCGCCTTTGTGGTCTAGTGGATAGAGTATCTGTCTAGGGACCGCCTTCGTGGTCCAGTGGATAGAGTATCTGTCTAGGGACCGCCTTTGTGGTCTAGTGGATAGAGTATCTGTCTAGGGACTGCCTTCGTGGTCTAGTGGATAGAGTATCTTTCTAGGGACCGCCTTTGTGGTCTAGTGGATAGAGTATCTTTCTAGGGACCGCCTTTGTGGTCTAGTGGATAGAGTATCTGTCCAGGGACCACCTTTGTGGTCTAGTGGATAGAGTATCTTTCTAGGGACCGCCTTTGTGGTCTAGTGGATAGAGTATCTGTCTTGGGCTGCCTTCGTGGTCTAGTGGATAGAGCGTCTGCCAGGGGACCGCCTTCTTGGTCTAGTGAATAGAGTATCTGTCAAGGGACCGCCTTCGTGGTCTAGTGGATAGAGTATCTGTCTAGGGACCGCCTTCATGGTCTAGTGGATAGAGTATCTTTCTAGGGACCGCCTTTGTTGTTGAGTGGATAGAGCGTCTGCCAGGGGACCGCCTTCGTGGTCTAGTGGATAGAGTGTCTGTCTTGGGACTGCCTCGTGGTCTAGTGGATAGAGTATCTGTCTTGGGACTGCCTTCGTGGACTAGTGGATAGAGTATCTGTCTAGGGACCGCCTTTGTGGTTGAGTGGACAGAGAATCAGCCTGGGGACTGACTCTGTTTTTCAGGGAAAGAACATCTGCCTGGAGAACAGAGGGTTGGTGGCCGTGTCTTACCAAAAGACGTCAAGAGATAGTACTTGTTGTTACCCAGCCTGGCATTTGGCATTAAGGGGCTAAAACAAGGGCTGGTCTGCTGGGAGTCAGTTTACCGTGTCTGAGTGGGGTATCCATGTTAAACTGTGGCATGGTATCTCAGTTGGCTAGCACTATAACACTGACATTAGTCCATATAGTACAAGCAGCCACACACACATACATGCTATCGCCATATCAGCACAATAATCTTGGAAGCAAAGTTAAACCCATTGCAGTCCTGACATGACATGTAATCACGCGGGATGGTGTGAAACTGTATGAACAGTTCGTAAACACATCAACACCACACACAAAACTCAAATCCCCTAAGGGCAAAAGGGGTGCTTGGGTAGCCGAGTCGTTAAAGCGTTCGCTTGTCATGCCGAAGACCCGGGTCTGATTCCTGACATGGGTACAATGTGTGAAGCCCATTTCTGGTGTCTCCGCCGTAATATTGCTGGAATATTGCTAAAAGCGGCATAAAACCATACTCACTCACCACCTAAGGGCAAAACTAGATGAAATGAATGATACTTAAGTGATGTTGAATTTTCTGAATAATTGTTGAATGAAAATGTCTGACAAGAATCCACACATTCTACACATGTCTGTCCTTGTGATATCACACGTGCCAGTCTCATTGTGCAGCCATTGTTTTCATGGGGAGACAGTTGATCAGGAATGCCTCCAAGCAAGCACCTGCGTGAAGGAAATATAATGTATTGCCTAGACATGCTCTGGTTACAAAGATAACGCCAGCCATTCATGCAGCCCTAGCCTTGCTCCAAGGCTGTACTGAAAGAAAAGTGCATATATGTGTAGTAATTCTCTCGTAATTGGCAAGTTTAGGTATGTGGCAGGACTCCAGTCTCTTACAGGGACAACTTGTTCTTATTATTTACATTATCTAGAACTTATGATTTGAACTAATAATTATTAACTTAGAGACTTGTGCAAGTCTAATACAGCCCCATTTTTATCACAGTAGGTCGTGTGTTCATTGTCATGAAAATTGATAGGTATTTTCATATGGAGGCTTTGTGAGGAGGTTTTCACAGTGTAATAACTGATGCGATTCTCAATGGGGCAGCACTCAAGCATGACCGATGATTATGATAACACGAGAGCTGAATAATAGGATGGGTTGGGTTTATGCTTCTTGCGAAGAGATCTCACCGATTTTGTTGCCATGATAGTGACTTTGCAAATCTGTGCAATGTAATTGAAAGTGATGCTCAAATGAAAACGTATCTTTTTGTCAACCCCTTGACATCTGACATCTTGTTCTCTGTGAGAGTAACTGTAATATACTTTCTCATCTTTGTGTAACTTTGCGGAGAATGGAAAGATGTTCGTGCAGGTCGTGTGAACATATTTGTTTTTTAATGTCAGCCTAGACCAATTTTGTTTAATACAGAATTTGTTGGCCAAGTTTCAGGAAAATAATTAAAAAGAAATCAAAGAGCTATTTGGGTTAATAAAAGGTACATTTCATTTCAGTTTATTATGACATAAGGATAGCCTAGTGGTTAAAGCGTTCCCTCGTCACGCCGAAGACCCGGGTTCGATTCCCGACATGAGTACATAGTGTGAAGCCCATTTCTGGTGTCCCCCGCCGTGATATTGCTGGAATATTGCTAAAAGCGGCGTTAAACCATACTCACTCACTCACTCACTCACTCACTCAAAGAAAAATTTAATTTCAAAATTCAAGATGTGATATTATATTTCCTGAACTTTTAAGATGAAGGTCATAACAAACAGCAAAAAGAGCATATTTTCAGCCAAACTCAGAATTTGAATAATTAATATTTGCTCAATTTGCGAAATTGACTTCTTCTTTTTTAGTTAATCTATAAGATGTGTCAATATCAATTGTTATGTAGCCATGGTAATGCAATATATCTTAGGATGTGTCGAGTTTTGTTTCATGTCTGTAACAGCCAATTACTGATGAAATCTATCCATGTTATTGAGCTGGTGGTGTTCAAAATGTGATCTAGATATGTCCTCTCTGTCATCTTCTCGAGGCAAGAGAGTTAACTG